ATAGCAGTGAATATAAAAACAAAAGTTTTAGACAATTTTTCTGGATAACTAAATCAGTAGGAGGACTAGAGAGGATTTGCCTTGAGATCATTTATAACATGGGTCACTTCTTTAAACAAATCCATTTTCGTAGCCCTTCTCGGGCTCCTGGATCACCACCTTTGTGAAATATGAATCTAGAATATTGTTTCTTCAAGAGTGCTAAGCAGAGGTAAGGGAACTGTACAGTGGGTAAGGAAGAATGCATAGAATGCTTTGAGTGGGAAGATGGTCAAAAGTTTCTGGGAATGAAGAAGCAGTCATTCCCTAAGGCATTAGATTTGTTACTAGGCAACAAATAAAATCTGATTACTTCTACTCAGCTCAAAATACAGCTTTCAGTAGAAAACAGCTTTTTAAAAATGTCTTTCAAAAGTTCAACCTGGAGCCAATTTTGGTGCCTGATTCATCCTAATTTACTAGTTTTATCCTTCACATTACTCTATGGTATTTTAAAATAATATATAATTTGAAATTGGAATGAAATTTAATATTAATCATTAATATTCTCATAAAGTTATAACTTCATTCTACTTACAAAAATTATATGCAGGTAATATTAGTTCTGGCACTGGAGAAAATTTTTAATCTCTATCTTACTGAAAAAGAAGTTATTAAACTAACTTAATAACTATATACTTTGTTGTTATTATTAAGTGCTGTTGAATCTGTTTTCAACTCATAGTGACCCTGTATAGGGTTTCTGAGGAGCAGCCGATGAGTTTGAACCACTGACCTTGCAGTTCAAACTGAGCTTGTGGTCCAGTGCTTATCCTGTAGTGCCATATCAGAACTCCAACTATATACTTATGGATTCTTTAATCATTAGACATGAATTTCATTAAATGACTAGTTATACTTTGAAAGCTATTTAACATTTTGTCACATACAGCTCAAGTCATGGTGTGGTGCTGTTGGCTAATGAGCTGGAATGCAAAGTCACTTTGAACCGCAAGGTCAGAAGTTCAAGCTCACCACCAGGCCCTCCTCAGAAACCCTGTATAGGGTCGCTATGAGTTAGAACCAACTCGATGGTATGTAACAACAACACATAGAACTAATCTAATAAACTCCCTAAATATGGCTATCTGGGTGTTTTTGTTTGTTTGTTTGTTTTCCAAAGGAATTGTTTATATTAAATTTTTACACCTTTCACTATCATCTACCTGCAATATAATCTTGATTTACAAAAACCATAGTAATATTTTGCCTCTATAACTTACTGCTATGTAACTGAATGGAAACGTTCTCACTTTATGAAATGATCACATTTGTCTATTAAAAGTTTTGCACACTATTTCTTAAACTTCACTATGTGAGAGTCAACCGATTATTGTGAAATACAGATAATGATTCAATAGGTCCAGGGTGGTGACTAATCTAGATTTCTAATGAACTTGCAGATGACGCTGATATTGTTGCTGCTGTAAAGTGCCGTCAAGGCAGTTCTGACTCATAACAACCCTGTATAGGGTTTCAGAGGAGCAGCTGGTGAGTTTGAGCCACCCACCTTGAAGTCCAGTACATTCATTAATGCACAGCACCATAACAATTCAGTGATGTTCCAGATTACACTGGGTAATAAAATTAGTGCAGCTGTGAAAAACAAACCCAAATATCTCCTAGTTGTTGCAAGGGATTAAAGGGCTGCCTTTCTGTTTCTAATGTGTGAAGGAGATTTCTGGCCTCCTAACACTTATAAAATTGCTTTCCTAATATATATTCTGTTTCAATTCCATCTACAAAGAGGAAGACTTGATAACCTCTGTACAGTGAACAAGCTACCCATTTAGCCATAATACTTTGCAAGTTAACATGAACCAAAGATCATCTATTTCTAATACAATTCCCTCAATTTATAAGTTTCCAATTGTACAAAGGTCAAGTGACTGGCTCAAGGTCACTTATCCAATAACTGAAAAAGTCAGCACTTAAATCCAGGACTCTAATTCCAAATCCAGTGTGTTCTCTTTCATTGCAAGTTGCTTCTAATAATAATGATACACTCCAGAGTTTAGGGTCCAGGTTGTTTAGACCACAAAATCTCCATTCTGAGATTAATTTCTCTACCTTAGGCTTCACATTGCAATTCCTAATATAGATTTGAGGTCATATGGGACTTTGGTTGCAGTACAGATATAGGTTTCTTTGTGCTTCAAAACAAGTTTTGAACTTCAACACAATTATCTGAATTTAGAAGCTTCTCAGAGTATGATGTAAGAGTGAAGAGAAAAGACAGATTTTCCATTGTCCAGAATGGGCATAAGATTTAGTCTTTATATTTCCCCAAAATTTCTGATGACTCTAAATAAAATTAAACCACTGCAAGATTGGTTTGAACTGCAAGGTGGGTGGTTCAAACTTACTTGCTGTTCCTCAGAAACTCTCTACAGGGTCATTATGAGTCAGAAATAACTCTATAGCCCTTAACAACAACTTAAAAACAATGTGTGGGAATCAAAGGAAGGTAGATACTTCTCCAGTAACTACTGCTGTTGTTGTTGTTACTTAGCGCTGCTGAGTGGGCTCTGACACATAGTGAACTTGTATAGGGTTTCCAAGGAACAGCTGGTGGATTTGAACTGTTGATCTCGTGGTTCAAAGTCCCATGCTGATCCTACAGTACCACACCAGGAGTCCAATAACAATTCTTCAACAGAACTTCACTTGCTTGGAGGTGACAACTTACAAAATGACAACTTGATGCCTTCTATGCTATTAAAGCTAACTGAAATCAAACTGATGCTTATATTGTGAAGAAAATAAGTTTCCAAAGCATGAAATGAATGATGACCAATAAAGCAGACATTGCTGGTTGGAACATAGATCTAGAGTTTCCCAATCTCCATTTTTTGAGTCAGCTCCGACTTCACACTGACTTCAGTAGGAGGTCAGGCGAGAGGGTTAAAATATATGACATATTTAATTGGCATTTAGGGGTCTGGAAGGAGTGAGGTGTGGTGCTGCAGGATAATGCACTGGACCACAAGGTCAGTTTGAACTGCACAGTTGACAGTTCAAATTCACCAGCCACTCCTTGGAACCCCTATACAGGGTTGTTAGGGGTTGAAACCAACTCAGTGGCAATTAACAACATCAATAGCAGTAGAGTGGTGGCTACATACAATAAGCACTGGACTGTGAACCACAATGTTCAAAGTCCATGTACATCAATTGCTCTGCAGGAGAAAGAGGAGGCTTTCTGCTCCCATGAAGGTTTAAAGCCTTGAAAACCCTATACAGGGTCGCTATCAGTCATAACTGATTTGAGGGCACTTAACAACAACAAGGTGTATATACATGCCCTCCCTGTAGTCTTTCTAAGCCCTTTAAGACTTAAGAAAAGTAAGAGTCTGGTATTGAATACTCTTCACCTTATACCTCCCTGAAGTTTTTGTTTTTGTTACCAATGAATCTGCTCCAAGTCATTGTGACCTGTATATAACAGAATACAACACCCTGCAGTCCTGTTCAGCCTAAGAATCTCTTGTATATGATCACATGACTTTGGGTACAAGGCCTGCATCTGGATACTGAACTGTATGTAGCCCATCATGAAAATTCTGTTCTCATTTCAAAGGCGTTCACTTTGGAAGTGTGTGCATGCTGTATATAAGCAGTTCAGGATTGAAGGACTCAAGATTGGTGGTCTGTCTGTCTTCTCCCTGTGGCACTGCCTCTGATACCATATCATAAGATTTTGATAAGACAGTAAGGGTTGATAATATTCTCTTCACAGGATTAAGTAAATGTCAAGATTCTGGGATCACATGTCTGTCTTTCCAGGGCTATTTCAAGGCATTCATCTAAGCAGTAATGGAAAATCAGTCTTAGCACTTTCTGGACTCAGTGAATGATACCAAGAGCTTCTTACTTTTTAGTTGATGATCTGAGCTCTCAGAAACATTTACAAGGATTTAGGTGTCAGCTGTAAGGAGAAAAGATATATCTATCCTGTAATTTCCATAGAAATCCTACAAAATGCTGGTCATGGCAAATCTCTACAAAACAGCAAAGAACTCCAAAGTCTCAGAGCCTGGATATACTCTATAGTGTATGTTGGTGGTTGGAAATCTGGCTCTAACAGATATCGGAGGAAAGCAAAAAGTTTGTAGAAAAATTAAAAGTCAATGAAAAATTTCCACCAATATTTGAAGCCCCCTCATAAATACAGCTCTGTCTTACTCATTCCTAACACATTCTCTTGATAATCACTCTAATGTTCATGGGTCACATGAACCCCCCACCCCACCCCACCCCCATGTTTCCTACCATAAGTCATTTCCTTCCCTCTGGCCAAGACCTCGGTCAACAGCCTTCTTCAACATCTCCACTTCACTATGTCATCTGTCTCTCAATTACAGCAACTAAGCAGCCACATGACTCATTTGGAATTTACATTCATTTTCTAAGAAGAAACCATAGCAAGTGGATCTATTTTTTTCACATTCCCAGAATAAATAAGAATGAAGACAAAGGAGACAAGTGCAGAAAACATACTTGAACTTTCAAAGACTTCCATATTAAAATGACACGCTAGGAGCAGGATTATGGTTTATAGATAAGACAGAGTGAGGTGGTTCTTTTCATGTTTTGTCTCTGAGTCAGAATAACTGTTGGGAATCCTAAAGACTGTAGCTTCAAGGATAAGCATGAAAGTGAAATACAATGATTAGTTTAATATAAAGAACAACATTTAGAAAGTATGACTGAATAATCATGGAAATTGTTAACTTGAGGGCCACTTAGCCCCATACCAATCACTGGATTCAATCTTTGACACAGTCAGTAATCAACTGGGAATATAGTGGTGTGTTCGGTGAGAAAAAAGTGACAATAATCAACTGCCAGGCCTCTTTGGCCCACTAAATCTCTATGGGTCTACTACAAACAAGAAAGATAATGACTTTTATGCTTGGCCATGAATAATTATAAAACAATAATAACTATGAGTAACTTACTGTGCTGACAATGGATCCCATTAAATCCTCGAGGACATTTACAAACATAGCCTATGAATGTGTCCCCTCGGTATGCTTCACTTATTTCACAGGTTCCTCCATTATGGCATGGATTGGGAATGCAAGGACCTGAAATACAGAAAGTAACATATTGCTGCATGATGCATAAAGGTAGACACTGTGATATTTTTGCATTTAAGAATTGTAATAAAATACAAATTAGTGCTTTGAATACACAGGGAAGGGTTCAGTGTGAGCTCTGGACACTAAAAGCCTGGGTTTGAGTCCTGGTGTCATTTCTCTCTATACGCACACACAGTCCTGAGCAATTTATTTAACCTCAGTGTTTTCTTCTGTCAAATGTCTAAACTAATATAATCCATCAAAAAGTGTTACGGTATTGATGAAAAGAGTCCATGAATACAACAAAACATTTATTAAGCACTCAATAATATTAAGACTAACTAAAATAAAATTGAAAATATATTCTACATGGTTTAAAAAGAATACAGAATGGCAATGTATAGAGTTATAGACAGTGAATAGCTTTTGTCCTTTGTTGGTTTAAATAGTATACATTTTCAAATATCAGTAACCTAACAGACCAAGTGAAGTGGAGATTGTGAGGAGTAGACCTCTGGAGAAACACAATTTTTAGCAATCTAAAATATGGATCTCCTCATAAGTTGCAGAACATGAGAAGAGTGTCCAGAGCCATTTTTAATATTTGAGACAGTAACTACAGCTGAGTGACTCGATTTGGCAGTCAATGCAGGTATGATGCTCAGATCTCCCTTGGAGAGAAGCTGCTTCTAGGCATATTGTTAGTTGAGTGCCTGCAGGTACTGGTACTCTGTTGAACCTACTGCAGCAATCTTCCTCAAGATACAGCCACACTCCCCCAGGCAGCTCCCAGGCAGTAGTGACTGAGCACCAGGAGGCCTGGAGATGGACAAGTCTTACCTGACCCAGGACTCCCCTAATGAGCATTCTTCACTCTAAAACTCACAGTTGGCTTCGCCAAGATTTTCTCAAAGCTGCTTGGTAGCTGTGGCTATGTCTATGAAATCCTCCTTTGTTTCTTTCATAATGACAGGCTCAGGTCCCAGTCTAAAGGTTCATCCTGCTTATTCTTACTCCCTCTTCTCTTAGTTCTTTACACTTACAGACACTCCTCTCAAATAAATACTTTCATTTCTAACCCTGTTTCTTTTTAGTTTGCTTCATGGAGGAGGTTCACTCACACAATAAAATCCAAACTGAAGATTGTGACAAAACAGAGACAAGTTTAAGAAAGGAAAAGGTCTCCCTGGACAATGAAGAAAGACCAAATTAAAAATAAATAAATAAATAATACAGACAGTACTTGAGTTACAAATGAAATTCATTTCTAAATGTGGTTTTCAGATTTTGAAGGTCAGGTGGACCAAGGTCATGTGATTCTTGGTTAGTCTTACTTTAGTGTAAGAAACAGCTAGAAGTCATGTCAATGATTTAAAAGCTATACTTGCAGCAAGTGAAGATGATTGCTGTAAAGGATTTGTTGTAAATTGGAGATTAATTCAAGGAACCCTGGTGATGTAATAGATTAAATAGTCCTGGGGATGTGGCACTATAGGATAAGGACTGGACCACGAGGTCACTTTAAACCACAAGGTTGGTGGTTCAAACTCACCAGCCACTCTTTGAAAATGCTATACAGGGTCACTAAGAGTCAGAACCAATTAGATGGCACACAACAACAATAATCACAAGATTGGATCAATCACAGCAGCCACACTGCAGTAGAAAGATGAGGTTGTCTGTTCCTGTAAAGATTTACAGTTGCAGAAACCCTAAGGAATAGTTGTACTCTACCCTTTAGGGTAATTATGACTTCACTGCAATGGAAGGAGGATAGGCAGGTTCAATCATTTCAAAATGAGGGTCATTTGCATATCGTTAAGGTAGGGCTTCAAAGATGGCAGCCAACCACTAGTCTTTGAATGTGTGCAACTCTCCATAGTTCTGCCAATAATCCAGTCGGATACTCAGTTTCCTGCAAGGGCTCAATATACTTCAGCACACTCTCCCATTCCAGGGCTTTGATACATAACATTTTCCATTCTGGTAACCAGAAAGCATCATCCAAATTGTAACAATTCTGATCTGTTCCAGATTTGTTTCGTTGGCCATGACAACTGGTCCCAAGTCCTGGAAGTAGGAGTTGTCCACAGTAGGACTTTCAAAACTCAAGAACCATACAAAGTTTCTTCTATTTTTTTCTTTCTAATTGTATAGACCAAATCACATTTAAAAGTGAAATATAAAGTTACTAAAGAGAAAGATAAGGTATTGTTGTTGTTATGTACAAGTCTGTACCAAATCACAGCAACCCTAAGTACAACAAAACAAAACAATAGCCAGTCCTGCACCAATCTCACAATCTCACAATTGTTGCTGCCACTGTGCCATTGGGCTCAACCTCAATGCAAAGAAACCAAAAATCCTCACCAAGGAACTAGTAAATAACATCAAGAAAAATGGAGAAGAGATGGAAGTTTTCAGACTTAATTATGCTTGTATTAACCATCAATTCATGGAAGCAGCAAACCATAAATCAAACAACATGATGTGTTAGGCAAATCTGCTGCACAAGACCTCTTTAACGTGTTCAGGAACAAAGACATGGATGTGAGGACTAAAGTGCACATGACCCAACCCATGATATTTTCAGTAGCTTCATATGCATGTGAAAGTTGGACAATGAACACAAAAGACCATAGAAGAATTGATGCATTTGAGTTATGATGTTGGAGAAGAATATTAAAAGTTCCATGGAGTGCCAAAAGAACAAATAAATGGGTGTCGGAAAAAGTACAGCAAGAGTACTCCTTAAAAGCCAGAATGGCCAGACTACATCTCTGATACTCTGGACATATTGTCAGGAGGGACCAGTCCCTGTAAATAGACATCATGCCTGGTAAAATTGGAGGGTCAGCGAAAAAGAAGAAAACCTCCAACGAGATGGATTGGCACAGTGGCAGCAGCAATGGACTCAGGCATAGCAACAATTGTGAGGTTGGCACATGACCCACAGTGTTTCTTTTCTGAAAAGGATCTCCATTAGTAGGCACTGAGTAGGTGTCATCTAACAATGACAACAACAAATCTTTTCCCAAATAATTTTGCTCTGTCTAATTTACACCAACATGGCAGATTTGACTTCCTCAAGGGACACAATTTATGTTTCTTTTCAATGTTCTTTGAATTTTACAAACAAAACTAAATCTGAAGGGGCAAGATTAGAATTGTAGGGTGTATGGGTAAAGTTTCCCAATGAAATTTTCTAAGGATAGCCCTTACTATCCTGAAAGAACGAGCAGTTATACAGTTGTGATGTAAAAAACTCATCAGAACAATATTCCTGATCTTTTTTCAACAATGTAGTTTTCTTACATCTTAAAATTTCTTTAAAATGAGTCCCATGATTATCCTGTGTCCTTCCAGAAAACCTTTCAAATCATTCCTTAGGAATCTCATAAAACAGTAATGATAACACTCTGAGCAGACCTCTTTGCCTCAAATGTAACTGGTCTTCCGGATCCCCTAGGATGTCACTGTTTTGAATGGACCTTACACTTTGGATCACATTGGCAAACTCAAAACTCATACCCAGTTATGATTCATTTTATACAATTGACTTCATTAGTTTCAATCTTGCCTAAAGACTGATGGAAATATTAGTTCTTTGAGCTAGCCGATCTTCCCACATACTTTTTTTTAGTATCCTTTTTGTGTATCCCTAACAAGTGTTTGTATCTTGTTAGTATTCCTAACAAATGTAGTACTGAGGTAACTTGTCTTCATCCATCCAGTGATCAAAGAGGCATGATTAAACATGTTTTGTTTGGAATAAACCCATGCATATTTGATCTGGAACCACAGTAGCAATACTTGCTACTTATCCTTCTATATTTGTGAAAGAATTAAGATATATGTAATCACTATGCAAGCATGCACATTCTAATGTTCTGCTACTTATGATTTGATATAATAACTCTTAAACCTTAAGCCACATATTAGAGACAAAAAGCATTAGAACCTAATTTGGATTTAAAGAATGTGAGCTTAAAATGTGTAGAAAAATTACTGAAAGGATTCAAACTGGTTATTGAATAAAAGCTAAAAGATACCGACATCTTCTAAGCCTAACACTAGAACAGGGTTTATTTTAGGTAGTCATGGTGGTGGTGGTTATGTACTGTGGAGTCAGTTCTGACTCATAGCGACCCTATAAAGGGTTTCTGAGGCTGTGAATCTTTACGGAAGCAGAAAGCCTCATCTTTCTCCCATGGAACAGCTGGTAGTTTCGAACTGCTGACCCTAAGGCTCGCTGTCCGATTCGTAACCACTACACTACCAGAGCTCCTTGTTTTAGGTAGTAAGTATCAGTAATTACTGCCATATCTTTGTTTATTCAAACTATTAAATACCTACTAATCAAGTCTTCCAAAGTGCATTGAAAGAAGTGGCAAAGAACAAGGCACCAGGAATTGATGGAATAAAAATTGAAATCTTTCAAGAAACCGAGGCAGCACAAGAGGCACTCACTCATCTCTGCCAAGAAATTTGGAAGACAACTATCTGGCCGACTGATTGGAAGAGATCAATATTTATGCCCATTCCAAAGAGAGGTGACCCAACAGAATGAGGAAATCATCGGACAATCTCTTTGATATCTCAAGCGAGCAAAGTTTTG